TTGGTCCCTAAACAAGGCCAGCTGCTAGCTAGTGCTGGTGTGTGAAACAAGAGAAAGTGAAGAGGTTCAAGGGAGCGATGGTTCCAAGCCAGAAGGTGGAATCTGGGGTGTGGCCCTGAGCAGAGAGAGCTGGGGAGCCGAGCTCCTGGCTCCGTCCTCAAGAGTGCCCGGGGTTCTGGGTTGTCACCGTCCATTGTAGGCCCAGCCTCGAAGGTTCCTCTGGGCTGTCCCAGAGCATTGTGGGACACACGCGTTCCACGGTGCTTTCGGATGCCTCCAGTTCTGCCGTTGGCAGAATGGACCAGGGCATTTTCATAAAAAGGCTGTGAACGTGCTAGCTCGGGGTGCCATCTCCCAAGGCTCATGGCCTGCTACCCTGGCAGCATCAGGGCAAGAGCCACAGAAGAAAGCACACGGATGGCATGGGAGACAAGGTTGAAGGGGAATGTCTTTAAAACAGGAAACACAACAACCCTGAGATACACCTGAAAAAACCCTCCACAAAGCTGTGAATTATAGAACAGAAGTTTGTTGGTGAAACAAAAAGCTCAGCTTGGGACCAGAAAAGTGTTCACATCAATCTCTGGAATTGTGGGTGGAGATTCTGTCTCCCCTGCCATGGAAGGGAGCTGGGAGCAGGTGGAAAGATACAGGGAGCCCCGGCCTTCCTGAGGCTTGGCTGATTTTGGCCGAGCCCCAGGTCTAGAGCTGGACTAAGGAGATCCATGACCCCTCCAGACTCCCCCAGAGTGAGCAGGCAGGGCCCTGTAGCCCTGAATCTTCTTTATTTGGGTCTAACCCTGGGAGGTGCTCCTGACAGCCGCCAATAAAGAGAGATGCCTTCCCTCCCATCTGCAGGTATCGGGTGAACTTCAGACCCAGGTACGTCACTCGGTACAAGACAGTGACGCAGCTGGAATGGAGGTGCTGCCCTGGCTTTAGAGGGGGAGACTGCCAAGAAGGTCCCAGAGACCCTGTAAAGACCCCCCGCCCCACGCCCGCTCGGCCTCGAAACAATATGAAGAAGGCCACAGGTAACTGCTTATTTGTGCTACGCGGTTACATGCAGCCACCTTTAATGTTACCAGTGCTCCTTCAAATAATAGAGACATAATTTACAATGAGGTTTTCAAGTTCTTCAAATAACACACATATACGCCTGCAGTAGACATATGTGGCAGACAAATTTGTTTGCAGGAGTAGGAGCAACTGGAAGACAAACTTACTTTCTTTTTTTTTTCTTTTAATAGGACTAATTTTTTTTTTGCAGTTTTTGGCCGGGGCTGGGTTTGAACCCGCCACCTCCGGCAAACAGGGCCAGTGCCCTATTCCTTTGAGCAACAGGCACTGCCCGACAAACTTTCTTGCAAGCTGATTGCTCTGGTAGGGCCAGCTTGTGAGAGCCAAGCCCTAAAAATCCAAGCAGGGAATGCTCAGGCCTTCAGACGTGGGTAGCCTGGAGGCGCAGATACAAGATTCCAGTGTAATGATGCTGGTTTTTACTTTGCCCCATAACTCAGAATTTAAAGGAGTCAAAATTGTTTTCTAAAAAATGGATAAATAGAATCACTCTCATTCCATGTGGGTTAGATATTTACAAAGCTAACCCCTAAGCCAGAATTCCACCTGTTGTTCACCCTTGCTTTTCAGTGTAAGAGAATGACTTTTATTGATAAAAACTTTCTGGCATTTTGCCCCATGTCAGGTCATCGTCTTTTTGAGTTGAGTCACGATATATGCAGCCTAGGTTTTCTTATGAATTTTGGTGTTTACATTACACTTGAAACGATTACATATTTCTGTGAGGTGTTTTCAATTCTGAAACTGAAACTGTTTTCCAACACTGTCCATAACACAGATTTTTAGATAATTTTGTTACGCGATTAATGCATGTTAATTAAAGAATATGTATAAGATATAGGAAAAATATTTAAGGACACATGATTCCACTTCCAAATGAGAAGTACTATTAAGGTTTTGTTACAGAACATTGCTCTCTTCCCTATATCTGCATTTACATTTTGTAAAAAGTTCGTTCATCCAGCTCACAGATTTTTACTGAGTTTCTACAGAAGGTGCCAAAAAACATATACACATTTTTAAGAAGAGAAAAAGCTGTATTTAAATCATAATATTCAACATACACTGGCACTAAAAGATGAGTACCAGTCCTGTTTGACTTCTGCGATTACAAGAGCTGTTCAGAGTGGGCACTGTCAGCGGCCAGACGCTTCTGATTACCGCCAGTGACAAGTAATACCTAGATAACGTCTCTTAAAGTGTGGGTCCATTTTTTTGGGCCCTCCTGCTGTGTCTGGCAGGCTCTACACAGGGACTTGGCAGACACAAGCCCCACCTCATGAAAAACAAGCACGAGACAGTCATTACGGTAAATCGTGACAGGACTATGATGGGGGACCTGAGGTGGGGGCTCCTGGATCACAATGGTTTATTTCATTTTAGTTTTAATTTTACGTAAGTTTAAACATATATGCAAAGGTGAATAGCTTTATAAGGACTAACAGGAAAACAACCACCCATCCCCCCACCTTTTTCCCTTCCCTGTGGTGCTGAAGTGCTTTAAACTTTTTTCTTTTTTTTTTTAGTTTTTGCCTTGAACTCTCTATGTGAATCTTTTATTTATTTATTTATTTTTTGAGACAGAGTCTCAAGCTGTCGCCCTGGGTAGAGTGCCGTGGTGTCACAGCTCAGAGCAACCTCCAACTCTTGGGCTTAAGCAATTCCCCAGCTTCAGACTCCCAAGTAGCTGGGACTGTAGGTACCCACCACAATGCCCAGCTATTTTTTGGTTGTAGTTGTCGTTGTTTGGCAGACCCAGCTGGATTCAAACCCCCCAGCTGCGGTGTATGTAGCTGGCACCCTAACCGCTGAGCTACATGTGCTGAGCCCAGTTTTATCTTCTTAAAGAAATCTCCCCTGAGCCTTCCCACTTGCCCCAACTGTAGTGGTCACTCGCCTTCCCCTGTGGAGTCCCCGTTTCCGGTGTCCCCGCTCCCTCTGTCTTGGTTTATTCTCTTGTTTTTGTTGAGCAAATCTGTCAATAGCTTCAAGTGAAGATTGTAAGGGAGGTAAACTTTTGATATTTCATAATCTTAAAATATGTTTACTCTAGCTTCAGAATTCTAGGTTGGAAATAATTTCCTTCAGAATTTTGAAAGCATTGTTCAGTTTTCTTCCAGCTTTCAGTATTTCTGTTAAAAAGTCCCAAACCATGCTGATTTCCAATGTTTTTTTATGTGTGACTTGTGTGTTTTGTGGTCTTCCTCTTTTATTTTCCATTTTAGTGGGATATTAGGAGAAAATGAAAGAATCCTGGTTCTCAGACAAACCACTATCATTACGAAGGACACACTTCTTTTTTTTTTTTT